GAACATTTACCAAATGAAATAGGTTTGATAAGAAATTTTTAATTTATTTCTTTTTTTTTTATTATTAAACTACAAATAATTTAGGAAATTGTGCTCAGTTAACAACATTAGATTTAACTCATAATGAATTGGTTGATTTACCTGAATTAATAGGCAATCTTAAAAATCTCAGTCGACTATTGATCAGATATAATCGTCTTTCGGCCATTCCACCTTCATTAGCAAATTGTTTAAAACTTGATGAATTTAATATTGAAGGAAATAATGTTTCACAATTACCGGTTAGTATTATTTTTTTTTAATTCAAAATGATTTTCTTATATATATATATATTTGTTTTTTTTTGTAATAGGAAGGACTTTTATCAAGTTTAATTCATTTAAATACAATATCATTAGCAAGAAACAATTTTAATTCATTTCCGTTAGGTGGTCCAACACAATTTACATCTGTACATTCAATTAATATGGAATGTAATACAATTGATAAAATTCCATTTTCAATATTTTCTTTAGCAAAATATTTATCAAAATTAAATATGAGAGAAAACTCATTGACATCATTACCATTAGGTATGATATATCATCAAATTCTTTGCTTATTAAAAAAAAAAAGAACAAAGTATTCTAAAAATAAATGGTTAAATAATCTTCATAATAATGAGGTATATGAACTTTGTTCTCATGAATTAATGACTAGCAGAGCAGAAAATCTCTGTGAGTTTTTTTTTTCTCAGATGAGATATTCTTCAATATAACGATCTGTTATAAATGCTAAACAATACACACCATTGTTATTTGAATACATTATAAAATAGAAAGATAACAAGTGAATATTTTTGAACTAATCGAACACACTGCTAGGGAAAATCTCTAGAGACATATACAATAGAATTGCATTTATTATCAACAAGAAATTCTCTTTTAGTTTATTCCATAGTGAAAAGAAGATGTTAATTATAAAATGTCACAGTGTACGCGAAGAATGGCAGATATCTAGATCTCGGCAAGTATTGTCTATCGTAAATCGTGACTTATAGAAATGTCATGGGAAAAGAAAAGAGACAAAAAATTCTCATTATTGAAATCAATATTCATTAGCGATTAGAGCATCAGAAAAGATCTGATAATCTAGATATATAAATATAAATATACGTATATAATTAATATAATCAAATAAAGTTTTATCAGTTAGATTATATGTTTTACACAAGAGAATTCAAATTAAACTATGTTCTGATTTTTTTTAATACTTTCTTGTTTTGTTTTATTCTATAGACATTGGTTCTTGGACAGCATTAGTTGAACTTAATCTGGCAACAAATCAATTAACTGTTATCCCAGAAGATATAAAAAATTTACAAAATTTAGAAGTACTTATTATGTCGAATAATCAATTAAAAGTATGTATTAAACATATACCAGTATTGTTCTGTTGAATGGATCTCTGTTCGTATTCCAGTATCGTTTTTCCTATGCTTCTTGCAGTCGATCTATAACATGAATAAAAATATCTGAGAGCATTTACTAATTATCTAAACGGTATTGTTATGTATTCTAAATCTATATATCTATATGAAAATGCAGGAATTAATTTGTTCTTTTTTCCTTTGTTTTTTATATTAAGATAACACATCTAACAATCTGTTGATTAATATAAATGTTGTTATTCTATTATAGAGAATTCCTCCATCATTGGGTCAATTACGAAAATTACGACATTTAGATCTCGAAGAAAATAAACTTGATTCTTTACCTCAGGAAATAGGTAAATGATTATCTATAATCTATAATATCGTATATTTATATAATAATAAATCTAGGCTATTTACGAGAATTAACAAGATTAATTATTGCATCAAATCAATTAACACAATTACCACGTTCAATTGGGTAATTTTTTGTTTTGTATAAAGCTATTTTATATATCTAATCGTTCGTTTTTCTTTTCGTCTTATTTCTAAAGATCTTTAACAAATCTAACACATTTGAATGTTGGTGAAAATAATTTAACATTATTACCTGAAGATATAGGTCAATTAGAAAAACTTGAACAACTTTATGTAAATGATAATCCTAATTTGGATGTATTACCATATGAATTAGCATTATGTACAAATTTACAAATAATGAGCATTGAAAATTGTCCATTGAGAAGTTTACCACAAGAAATTGTGGCCGGTGGACCATCACTCGTGATACAAGTATGTTAACACTAAACAAAAACACCAAATTTTATATTCATTAATTTTTTCTTCTTCTGTATTTTAGTTTCTCAAAGTGCAAGGACCATTCAATCTAAATTAATACTATCGATCTTTTTTTTTTCGTTTGTATTCTATATCTGTATTAGTTAAATCGGTGTGTTTATTTTTTCTTTTCAACCGGTAACTTTGTGTATGTATGTATTTATGTTTGTCTCTTTGTTTAACAAAAATTGGTAAACAGTTCTTTTGCGCTAGACATTCAATTCTTTTTTTGATTTGTTTTTTTTTTGTATATACACAAATACGTGTAATCTTTTTTACTCTTAACAACAGAAAGTGCACATAGAGTTTTGTGCTTCGAATATACAAAATATACAAAAAACTATATGCCTTTTTTTTCTGTTTGTTGTTGGTTTGTGTTTGGCTAAATCGAATTAAATCTATATTTTTTTTTGCTCTTTTCTTCTGCTTTGTGGAATTATCAGTCAGACAGAAATTCATTTGTATGTACGCGATTTTATTCTGATATTCCGTTTTTTTTTTCTCTTGTTCTTGTTTTGATCTCTTTGATGTATTTAATGATCTTGTGTGGAATTGTATGCTGTTTCATACCGTCCATGTGAACGGTTCATGAACGAAAGATAGACAATGGGAAATATATGTAAGAGATAAAAGAAAATATTGAATTAATTATGACTGTAGAACAATTATTTAGATATTATGATAGTTGCATTGAAGTTTTTGGGCACATATTTCTTCGAGTTCTCTTTGACATTTGGTGCTTTTGTTCGAACAGAAAGAAAAAAAAAGAAAGCAGACATATGTAGGCAGTTCAAATAGTATTTAGTATTGATAAAAGAAAATTGTAATCATATGAGATATATTATGATTGTGAAAGGAGGGTGTTAGTTCTTTGTCGTCGTGACCTCAATATTTCGTACAGAAACGCATTCGAGACCTTTGAGTCTATAATAAATTTTTTGATGAACCATTCTTCAAATGTATTAGAAAGAAGAAATCTTCGGGACATGGACTCGAACGAAGTATAACATGATTGTTTTGTTAAGAAGTAAATTTTAGCTTCAGTTCTTTTTTTTTTTTGATGAGAATTAAAAGAGAAACTGAAACAATTCTGGTTAAATTTTTTGATTACAATACAAGATCAATATTGAAATAGGATTATTTATTCTGGAGTCCTGCATCAGACTCTGGAGTTCGTCAAAGTCACTAGAAGAAATTATTTTATGAGTCGAAGTTGAATAAATGTGATTCCGTAGGTCTTTAATTCGTTCATAATTTGTTTGTAAATGCGCTAATGATTTATTTTTGATAATTTTCAATAAATATTACAAATATAAATTTTGAATCAATACTAAGAATGGAGTGAGACGAGAACCGGTGATATATCCTCATTATTTCTTGGAACATTCATCTTTAACCTATATCATAATTCTTATACTTAAGCTCGATTTAATGATATCATACTGCTATTAATGACATTTATGTCAGAACACAACAAATTTTGAAAGCGTGAATTTACAGGTTTCGTCATCAAAGGGTTAACAACACTTCCCTTTCGTCTTCCAAGATTTTTGTTTGTGTGTGGCTACTGGATATACTGAAATAGTATCGATCTACTCAGTGCATATTAGGGTCCAACAATTATCTTCCAATATTCAAGAATTTGAAAAGAAATCAAATTAGTGAAAATTATATATTGTTTCGTGTTTTTCTCCAACCAACTTTTACATGGCAAAAAGTGCAAAAACGTCCCCATTTCTTCGGTCTAATACATCTAACTAAGCTGACAATTTTTTTTTTATTCGAAGGACAAAAAAATAAAACCAGACCCATCTCAAACAGTATCTAGTGCCTGTAAAAAAAAAAACTTTTTCAGCTCAATCGTACACAGTAACATGAGCGTACTCGTCAAGATCTACCAGTCATGAAATTTTCAAATTTTTCTGATCAGTAGTTCTCCAGAAACTGAATGCCCTTAAAAACTTCGTTGATTTTATTATGTCAAAAGCAAACTGAAATTATATGATAGCATAACATTAAAATCAATTTATTATGAATAATTCTACTTGTATGAATCAACATTTTAAAAGTGATATATCAACAAATGTCAACAGCTAAACGAGCTAGCTAGATTATAACTTTATGATCTTTGTTTGACGTTTGTCATTACTAACATGTATACATACTTATTCTTAATTTTTTTTCCAATAAAAAGAAGAAAAAAAAACCGAACGAACATATAAAAGTAAAAATGTTAATAGCTCTCGAATATTCAACAAGTGATAGAAAGCAAGCATAGTAAATCGTTGTCATTTACAAAAAATTTACTTCCTTTTTTCCCCTCATCCGACAAAAAAAATTCGAATACGATGAATTCGATCATTTATTCATTTGTATCACGATGTCACATATGAATAAAAATGTACGATCTTTACGCGATCAGTTTCAACAACAACAGCAAACAAATCAATATGGCAATGCAACAAAAAATCAATTTGAACAAAAACATGATATTTTATTTCAATGTATTCATTGTGGTAGACAACAAACAGTATCTGTAGTTCTACAGCCGATTTCTAGTAAAGGTATGTGTTTCGATATTAAAAAAAAATATTTCAAATAGAAAAAGAAATTTGTGTTCAAGTTCTACGTATAGGCGCATCTAGAAATATGAATCAATGCCCCTGTCCGCAGAATTTATTCACATCTTTTGTATATATGAAAGAAAACTAAGAGCAAAAGAAAAAGATTGATTTATAAGAATATTTCAAACATGTTTTCAGAAATTGTTCAATCACCATTTTCGGATTACGATTCACAATTTTCATTAAAAAATATTAAAGAAGAAAATAAATCGACACCAATAATTCGACAAGTATCGGTAATAAGCGAAAAAGAAGATAACGAAACACCACCACCATCATCAACATTACAACGATCAAATTATGCTTTAGATTTTCATCATTTAAATGATGAAAATAATCCAAAAACATCTATTGAACAAAATATTAAAGGATTTGTTGATGGTTGTGTACGTTCAAGTTTACATGAAATTTCATATGTAAATAGAGAAGCTGATAGTAAGTTGATTTTGAAATTTAAAACTTTTGTTTTTCGAAATAAAAATTTTATTATATAAATAGCAAGAGATATTGTTGAAGTTGAAGTTGAATATGATCCAATATTAGGTAATGTTAAATCAACAAGAAAACGTTCAAGCACAATAATTACAAATCTTGATAATGATTATCATCCAACTAATTATCGGCATCAATCTGCTCATAGTAGAAATAAACCATTATCATCTGATTTAGACCATGATAATACAACACCTATTTGGGCAAGACGTCGTGTATCACATTCAACAGTTAAACCATCAGATCTTATTCGAGAATATGATAAAAAAGAAAAATTACAAGCTACTGCACTTCGACGTTTATCACGAACAGGTATTAAATATAAAATATAACTTTTATTTCCTATTAAATTTTTTTTCACAAAAAAAAAATCAATCAACTAGATCTTGCTGGTGATGGTGTCATACCAAATTCAACAACAAGGCCAAAAATTAGGTAAAACAAAAATATTCTTTGTGTCCTTCTATTCATATTGTCGGATGGTATAATCATCTGCGAGCTATTAGTAGAAATAATTTTCTATCAGTTCGATCGAGATGTTTATTTGCATTCTATCAAACAAATTATTTGGCCTTTGATCGGTCAAACAAGTTAAGATCTTTTGGTATTTCAGCGTTAGCCATATTTCTCTTTGTTTATAGTTCTATGCAGAAGATGATAATTTGAAATAACACATATGATTATTATTTTAGTTCTCAAAATCCAAGTATGATTAAAGATACAATTTTACGTTGGTGTCAAGATCTTACACAATTTTATAAAGTATATCATTCATATATTTGTGTATAAGTATTTTCTATGTTGATATTAGGGTGTTAATATTAAAAATTTTTCTTCATCATGGAATGATGGTTTAGCATTTTGTGCAATTATTCATCGATATTTTCCTGATGAATTTAATTTTGAGACATTAACTTCCGATGAACCTCGGCAAAATTTCGAATTAGCTTTTACTGTTGCTTTGTATGTGTCATTTGATCTTTGTTTACTTTTCTGTCATTTGTATTTTCTTTTTAGAGAACGTGCTGGCATAGAACCATTAATTGATATAGATGATATGATACTCATGGGTGCTAAACCAGATTGGAAAGTAGTTTTTACTTATGTTCAAAGTTTATATCGTCATTTGTCACGCATACAACCGCCAGCAATATTGCGTGAACGTTGGTGAACAGAATATATGTGTTTTTTTTTTCTTACGTAAAAATTTCTTATTTTAACGTATTCGAAATATATTGAACTACAACTATTTGTTCATGCCTTACTAGTTCAATGAGACGTTTTTATTTTTTTTTTAGTATTTTAATAAAACTATTATATAATCAACTATGATTTCGTTCTACATGTACAATATGAATTAATTTTAGGACACTGAATTTAATTATACTGTAATATTTCAATTAATTGTTCAAAGAAAATTAATCTTTTATTTTCATAATTGTATCTTCTATTAGTTATACACTTACATAAGATATTATCGATAATAAAAGCTGAACTCAATATGACGTAAAAAAAACATAGAAAAAAAACCCAAATCTTCATTTTCTTCTTATCGTATATCATATTAGAGTGTAAACGAGTTAAGGACAAGTTTTCTGTATAATGTTATTATAACAGACATATACTTCATATGCTTTTCATACATTCCGTTGTTATCAACGTCTGTTTTTCCTTCTGTTCACGTTCGTCGATTTCTTTTATTTTCTTCTTATATTATTATTTAATATTTTCTTACGAGTTTCGATTCATTCCAGTAGCAACTACTATAGAAAAGAAATAAAAAGGATCTCTAATGGTTGTTATTGGCTAGACGACATTGTTACTTCACAGATTATCGAAACAACTGTTTATGCTTATTTGTATTATTCCTTAATAGTCTTTTACATAGTGCTTCTTTTTTTTTCTTCTTTTTTTTTCGCTTATCAGATTTCCCTGGAAGCAAAGACAAGCATCTGCATATGTTGTACTCAAGAGATAATTTCAACGAATAATGATCATAAAAAAAAGAAGACAAATTAAATGCGTTAGATTATTTTTTTTTTATTCGCGGTCTCTACTTCTCGCTCCTCAGTATGCTCATTTTCACATGAATAGTAAATATATATTTATGTAAATGATAGATATTATTGGAATTTCTTTCATTCTCATTTGTCTGATTAGACGAGAGTTGACGCTTATGAAATGTCTTCGTTTCGATCTACGAACGATAATTTCCTATTCTTTGCCATCACCGACAGTAGAATCTTCTATTACTCGATGTTGCTTGATTAAACCCGGACAAAGTCAAGCATGTGTTAATAACAATGAATAATCAGTGTCGGGTGTTCGGTAGATGGACACTCGACAACATCAATGGTCGTTTCTCGATTTTTTTTTTCTTTCGTTCTTTCTTTTTTTTTCTTTCTTTTCTGTTCTCTTCATATTCTAATCTATATTGAACAGCTTGTGCACATTGCGACCGCTAGTTTGTAAGAAAGAAGAGAAAAAAAAATGGACGAAAAGAGTGGACCCATCAACTGTGAGCACAGAAGAGAACAAGAGAAAAAAAATAAGAAAAAAAAAAGAGAAAAGAATGAACTTAGTATTCATTAGTACTACTATTCTGACTAACAGTTGTGACGACAGAGAAGTACCGCCTGCAGATTGATTGATTTCGTATATACTTATTTTGTCTCCTACTCCTTGATTTACAGAAAATAAAAACAAAACAAAAAATAAAATATAGAAGAAGGAAATGACGCGATTAATATTAATTAATATTTTCTTAATCATAAATTCATTAATATGTTATGCTGAAAAAAAAGAAATCTCATTTGATGATGTCAAAAAATATAGTAAGTAATTATGATTTATTATTATATTTGTTTAGTAGAAAATATTATTTTAAGTAGGTGACTCAATTATTTGTCCATCATATTTATTTCGTTGTGATATAATACAATGTTTACCTTACGCATTCGTTTGTAACGGAGAATATAATTGTCAAGATAAAACAGATGAAGCTAACTGTTCTACAGCAATTATTAATCATGATCTTTGTAATACTAAAAATTCTATTAATTGTGAACAAGATATACTTCATAGTACACGTCTTATTGATCATGGTATTCGATTTGAATATACACAACCTATACAAATTTGTATTAAACGGTAAATTTTCATTTTTGTTGTATGTGCCTTTGGGGACTAATCTTTACTTACAAGTGCTTTTATAGTTTTTAGTTTGTAAATTTTCATTCTCGCAAAAAGAACATTTTACATATCAATTGTTAATAGTCACATTAATTTTCGATTTCGTTTGTGGTAGACATATGCCTTTAGGGATAATTATCCATTTTTGACATTGCAGCACTTTTAACACTTCACAGATGCCTTCATCTTCAATTAGTCTAGGCACAGAAGTAGTTTTAATGATTAAAGCATATTTATATATCATTTCTAAGTGTTCATTTATATTGATAGGAAATTTATAAAAAAGGAAAAAAAAACAATTTGGTTTTTGTGAAGCTTTCCAAATGACAAAAATCTTAATAGAAATATTCTTGAAATCGAATAAGTATAATTGATAGTTTTATTTTTACTTCAGGCATATTTATTTGCATAACAAATAGACATCTCATTCTCGATCGTAAAAATCATATATATACATATAAGCAACAAAAAGAAAAACGAGAAAAACTATGACACATTCTAGAAAGGAAATAGATAACGATCTTTTTCCGACTAAAAAACCTATAGATAGATGTTTGCTATTATATCCTTAAGTAATTTCAAATAAAAAATGAATAATTAATAGTATAAGAGTTTCTCGTTGACGGACATGAAATCAAAAAGAAGATTTAAAGTTCAAATAAGATTTATGGATAAAAACGAATGTCTATTCTTAGGTTAGTATCATTCGACATCTCGTTTCTATTATAAATTCTATATATAAATCAGCTTATTCTGCCTATATGAATGTAATTGATTTAGTTTTTTTTTTTATTTCAAGATTAACTAAGCTTGTTTATTAGCTTATTTTTCTAGCGTTTTTCATATGTTTATAAGGTTCCTTTATTGAAAAAACTAGATATATCATGTACGCTAATCTAGTAAAAGAATTTCATGTTCATTAAGGCATATACTTGAACTTATTAAATTAGAGGCAGAGAGAGAGAGAGAGGGGGGGGATGTGGGGTTGTTGAGTCTTGAAAAAAGGAACATGGCGTAGAGAATTTTCAAAAGAACTAGGGTGTCACGCCTCCAATTAGTTGTGCCCCTGTATGACAATAATTTAATAAGCATATGAAAAAAAAAGCAAACTTTGATGATATGTAATATTCATTTTAATAAGTAATCTAGATTATAAATATAAACTATGAATTCATATTGTGTATAAAAGATGATTTAATTTAATCATGCAAATCAGAGGTAAAAACCTGCATCGGAGTCAATGTTAGCTTTGACTTTGCTCCACGATTGTAAAGAGTTCTGATGAGACATGAATCGTGCCTTCAAAATCTGATAGGCAATTTAGAGACCATTGGCTATGCCCAAAAAAATGACTCCAATGCAAATCTTTAAACAAGGATGAATTTAATTGAACATGTTATATGTTAATCTTGTTTTTTTTTTTCCTTTAAAAAAGGTCTTCCGTTTGTGATGGTGTTATTGATTGTCGTAATGCTATTGATGAACAATGTACACAACGAAATCCTTTAATAAGTTGTTCTCGAAATGAATATCATTGTAAAGTAACAAATCGTTGTATACCAAAAACTTGGCTATGTAATGGAATAAATGATTGTCTTGATCCGTATGCATCTGATGAGTTAGGTAATACAACAAATAATGAAAAGACACAACGAAATAAAATTTGAATAATTCAATAGATTGTCCAACAATAACAATTCAATGTTCATCCGATGAATTTACTTGTCAATCAAAAAATCAATGTATACCATCGAATGCTGTTTGTGATGGAATACAAGTAAAGATTTTATTTAATAAAATCATACTTTTTGATAATTTTTTTTTTTTTAATTAGGATTGTGTTGATAACAGTGATGAATCTTCAACAACATGTCGTATGTTGAAATCTATACTTTAAAGAAAAATTTTCATTTTTTCTTTCCGAAACAAAATCTAAAAGGAGTGTTGTTAAAATTTCGAAGTTAAAATTTGAACTCTTTCACAGATCGTAACAAATGCAAGTGAGAGGCCATGACAGACTTTTTTTTATACGCTATCAAAAACTGTATATCAATAATGTTTCGTTACTACTTCCTTATTGCTTTTCTGGAGTACTAAATAAAGGAATGATAAACAATTCTCTTGTAATTAGCAAAAGCAATTACACTGTTTCTCATATTTTAATTCTGCAGGAATATTGCTAACAGCTTTCTTTTAAAGGTTTTCCTCGTTTTTGTACTCATGATCAATTTGCATGTAAATCAACAAAATTATGTATACCAAAATCTAATATATGTGATACAATAACACAATGTCATGATCGTAGTGATGAAATGTCATGTAGTTGTCCAATTGAAGATTATGTTAGTCAAAAATTATTTTATCGTTGTGGTTTAACAGATAAATGTTTACCAAAAAATATTGAATGTTATTTAAAACATGAATGTAATTCAATATTAATCGATCATAATAATGATGATAATGAATGTAAAACAGAAAAAAAAATATTTTTATTTTTTTTATTAAAGAAATGTTTTTGTTTTTTAATTTTATTCAAAGGTCCTTCACCATCATCATTAATTGAACGACCATGTTCAATTAATAATACATGTTTAGAAGAAAATCAATATTGTCGAGGTTATTTTAATAAACGTTGTGTTTGTCAATCAGGTTATCGAATGAATGAAACAACTGGTATATGTGAAGATATAAATGAATGTCGAGAAAGACTTGTTTGTGATCATTATTGTATAAATACACTTGGATCATATCGCTGTGCATGTCATGAAAATTATCAATTAAAATCTGATAAACATACATGTACACTTCGAACAAATATAGTTACACCGGGTAATAATTGATTTTAGTTTTTTTTTACTTATATCGAAATATTTTATTTTTCTAGCATTTTTATTTGGTTTATTTGATAATGGAATACATAAATTAAATATGACATATGAAAATGAATTAGGAAAAATTAAAGAATGGTCAAATAATAATAATAATAAAACATTAATAACATTAACAAATTATGCTTATCTAATTGATTATGATCCTATAGAAAATTATATATATTTTGTTGAATGTTCAGTGCCTATTCGACCTATAATTATGTCTTGTCCAAAGACTCGCGGAATTTTTCGAATTAATTTAAATCAATCAACACCTGAAAAAGAAGTATGAGAGATATTTTGATTTTGTTTTTTTTTTACTCATGGAAAGGGTTTTTTTTGTTTGTAGTTAATTATTGATGGCCGTGATTATACATCAATTCAATCATTAGCTGTTGATTGGTTACATAGAAATATTTATTTTGTTAATACACGTTTACAAACTATTGATGTTTGCCGTCTTAATGGAAGTTTTTGTCGTATTCTACTTCATCAAACAATCAGTGATTATTTACCACAACGTATTGTTTTATATCCAGAAAAAGGGTATGAATAGAAATAGTCTTACAAGAGAAGACACCCAACTGATTTATTGGAATTGGTGAACGAAGAGCACACTAGGAAACTTCACTATCAAAAAATTAAGCAGGCAAAAGAAACTGATGGTAAAGGATATGGTTACAGGAGTGCCGATGAGAATGCAAAGACCAAAAGACACACCCATGCATTGTGTTTATCGTTCTGATTGCCAGTTTGCTGTTCCGGAAATACTGCAATTTTACGATATTTTTCAAGCCAATACTGTAGTCCTTGTTAAAAAATCCATTCTTTTCTTGGAGTTGAGTGCATGCCTACTCTTTTTGAGGCCTATATCTTTGAAAAGTTTGGGTTACAGGAATTTTCGGTTCGGGCTTTTTTTTCCTCACCCCCACTTTCACACCATCATCCTGAGTTTGGACCGAAAATTCCTTGAGTCGAAATTGCGGGCTCCCCGTAAAAATGTTGAATCTTCGTAGCAATAAACTATGGGCTCGAACTTTGTTCAAGGTATTCATTTTTCATAACAAAACCTTGTTAAATTTCATGAATATCAGATTCACTTACTTCTCTGTGAAAATGAACAATGATTATCGATTGAATTCTTTAACATACACCCATTTGATTATCATATCAAATTTATAATCTCTACAACAATATCGTCTCGTAATTACAATGTTTAGATATCCTTACAAAGAAACAAAAGCTAGTCGATTATTTTAAAATTCTCCATTTTTCTTTAGTTTACTATTCTATACAGCTATTGTTAAATCACGTGCTCATCATATTGTACGTATTGGTATGGATGGTACAAATTTAAAATTACTATTTACATTAAAAACAACAAATGATATTGATAATGTTAATTATCTTCGACCATTATTGACATTTGATCGACTAGCACATCATTTATATTTTTATAATGGTCTTGATAAAGTATTTACATTAAATATGCATGGTGATATTCTACATATACAATATCAAGCTATACATCGTTTTTATTCATTTAAAATATTTGCTGGTAAAAAGAAAAAAAATAATCTTTTTAATATTACAATGAATTCGAGTTTCTTTTGTAGATAAAATGTACAAAACTTTCTTAGATGTTGATAACATAAATCGTAGTGAATTTCGAATAAATCCAAAACATGCTATTGGTACAACATTACTTGGTCCTGGTTTTATTTTTGATCTTAATCGAGTTGTACAAACTTTTCATAGTAAGTTTTATTATCAAAAACAACAAAAAGAAATTTATAAACATATGATTTTAATAGATAAATCATCTCGTTTTGGACAAGGTACATGGTCATTAAATTCTTTACATAATTTATATTATCTTCGATATTCAATTCATATGAATGATTTTATTATTATTGATTCAAATGAAAAGAAAGGTAAATTTAGAAGTTTTCTGAATAGATTAACATGAAAAATAAAACATATTTCTAGTGGTAGAAAATAAATGTATTCAATGTGAACAATTATGTTTTCCAAATTCAATTAATCAAACAGAAATTACATGTGGTTGTGCACAACAGTATAATTTAGCTAATGATGGTCGATCATGTAAACCTAAATGTGCTGAGTAAGTTATATAATGCAATATCTCTTCTCAATTAAACATCGTTGTTTTGAAGAAACGATATGTCTATGCCTAATTTTCATGTTTTTCAGCTGAAAAACTGAAGCCGATATCATGTCTAGGTTTTTAAAACCCTCCAATTATACTCGACGCGAGTTTCACAAGATCATAAAATACATCACTCTCAATAAAAAAAAGTGTTGATTGCAGTTCTGGCTCTAGTGTTTTATCTAAATTTTTTCTTTCGGAGCGGCGAACACTTATTTTCAGGGCCACATATACATAGTATGTGGTAGAATAACATATAAACTACAGGAGGGCTAATTCAATCTTCGAAGCAGCACCATCCCTCACGTTGGATAAAATAGTTGCCCGGGTTCGGTCCAGAAAGAGCCAGTTTGCCCATATTTCGAAGGATTGAGTTAAAAATAAATTTGTAGTTTGTAACTGTTATTCCTTTTTCTTTAGACATTTTTTTAATTGTCAAATATCAAAAAAATGCATTCCGTTTTATCAACGTTGTGATGGATATAAAGATTGTATTTTTAATGAAGATGAAAATAATTGTCAAGGTTTGTTAATGAAAGCATTTTTTTATTTGAATAGTTTTTATTTGATTTAATTAGCATTAACATGTCCTAAATCATCATTTTCTTGTTCGACGAGTAATAAATGTATAACAAATGCTGATTTATGTAATAATATAACGGATTGTTTAAATGGTGAAGATGAACATGATATTATTTGTGGACATTTTTGTGAATGGCCTAGTTTAAGTACTTGTACGAGTAAGGACAATTTTATTCTAAGAAAAAAAAACAGATTTTAAATGATGCGTATTTTAGAAAAATATCCAAATTTATGTTCGGATATAGAATTTTATTGTGATGGAAAATGTGTATCGATTAGTCATCGTTGCGATGAACATCCTTATTGTTGTAAGTGTTCATTGTTTTTTTTTTTGATTAATTTATTTAATATTTCTACATAATTTGATGATACTTTTCTCTTGATTTCGATTATCTCCAAGTCAAACTTTACTATTTTGTTTTAAGTGAGCAAGACAGAATATAGAAAATTTATTGTAACCATAGGCAAAACTCTTTATCATGAATATGCACTAATGGACATTTCCAAAGTACGTTATGATACAGAAACGAGCTGCTTCACATTGAATAACGAACTATATTTAGTGAAAATATTCATTTTCATGGACGAGAGACCTACTCTACGTCACATCCGCTATTTGAGTTCATGTTTAATCCGCAGGCTAGTCTCAGTGACACTAGCAAAAGTCTAAAAGGTTCGTTCCTATGAACCTTCATTGCCGCATTAGGATTGGTTTAGTGAGTAATTTCCAAAAACTCATATGACAGAATTTCAATCTACAATTTTGTCTATAGATAGGTCTAATTAATCTTAGAATATCGTGAAAATTTCAGTCGGAAAGAATTTTTCTTCTTCGAATTATTGAATTTTCAAGTGAACCCCGGTTTTTGGTGACAAAATACTATTGTCATGAATTTAATATTTTGACGAAGGAAAATTCTTTTCGACTGAAATTTTCACGATATTCTAAGAATAATTAGATTTATCAAATAGACAAAATTTTGGATCAAAACTTCATTGTCCCATCTCCCACGAATACTTAGTAATGGATTAAAAGCCCAGTAAACAGTTCATAAATCCGTGCCAAAGATCAATAGTGACGCTCTACAACGAAAATATTCGCTAAGCATGAAAAAGAAAATTTTATCAGATTTATTTTTTATTAAAATAACAATATTCTAGATGATGGCGCTGATGAACCATTTGATTGTGTAAATGTCACATGTCCTTATGAATATTTCAAATGTCCATCATCAGGAAAATGTATTCCATTAGAAAAAGTTTGTGATAATTTTGATGATTGTCCAGCAATAGATCGAACAAATGGTATTAGTGAAGATGAAACATCACAAGCATGCAGTAAGAATTAAATTGTTGTCTTTTTTTTTAAATTGTTTTTTTTTTAATAAAGATTTTGTACTAAATCATTTCAATAATATAACAACAACAACAGCAATATCGCCAACAACAGAAATTCATATAACTTGTGAATCATCTGATTTATTTCGATGTAAAACAAGTAATTTTTGTATTAATCGAACATTTGTTTGCGAGTAAGTTTTATTTTCTAAATGTTGTTGTTTTACATTTTCAATTATATAAAAGTGGTGATCTTGATTGTTCGGATTCATCTGATGAAGAAAATTGTGATGAGAAAAATAGTATTACACCATTATCAATAATTAAAGATTATACATGTATGAATGGATATCGTTGTGCACAACAACGACATGAACTATATGATTATATACCATTGTGTATACCATTAAATGAATTATGTGATGGTACATCACAATGTCCATTAGGAGATGATGAAAGTAAATGGCATTGCCGTAAGTTAATTAATAAGAATAGAAATATTTTAAGGATATTTTGATATATATATATATATATAGAGAATTGTACAAATTGTGATCCAACATCGAGTTTTTGTGAAATGATTAATCGTTCACCTATTTGTCAATGTAAAAATGGTTATGTAAAAATAGAAAATGGGTAAAAGTGAAAAAAAAATTTTTTTTTTATTTTCTATGATGATTATTTATATATATATATATATTTAGAAGTTGTATATTAGAAAATAATCTATGTAATTGGTCCTATGGCACATGTGCACATGCAAATATGTCACAGAAAAATGATGATCTAGATCTATGTTTAAAGAAAAAATCTACAGCACAGATATCCGATTGTCAATGTGATCGAGGATATGAAATGCAAAAAGTAATAGAGAAAAGATCTCAATTATATTAACATTAAAAACTATTTCGTCTTTGTCTTTTTGTTGTTTTAGAATGCAAATAATTATATATCATGTTTGATTAAGAGTAATCGAACAATTGATATGATGCTAAATCGTCGTGTATCATTTAATCTCAATCAACATGGTTCAGTATTTGCTGTAAGATTTATTATATAATTTATTCGTTAAAATATTTGTCGAAATGTTCTAGCCTGTTAATCCTTCACATCATGTTATTGATGCGATATTAATACCAGCTGATGATGGTTGGTATTTATTGTATACAGAACAACGTAATGGACGTGGTTATATATGGCGACAAAAATTAAATCATATTCTTTATTCGAATAATCGTTTACAAAATAATGCTACACAGGTTTTTAATCAGAAAGATTTTTTATATTTAATTTAAAAAAAAAAACGTTTTCTGATAGAAAACATTTGTTTTATAAATGTCAAAGATTAAACTATGAGCTTTGAAGGGAAATATTTGAGAACTCTAGATGACAGTACGTTCTAATCATACGTTTAAAGTGCTGAATTGAGTCGCCGCTAATTGTTGAAAGAAATTTTCAACCACCAACAGTAGCAGCTCAGCCGCGCCCCTGAAAATTAGAGCCGTAGTCGCTGATGAATGTATCACCTTACATCTCTAATTCTTGATATTCACTGTGGGAAGTTGTGATCTTTAGTTGGTGAACAAAGTTTGAACGAAAGTAAGTTTATTTATCATTTACCGTCATGCAATACATAGTCAATTGTCCATAGCAATAGTATTTATAAGAAAATGGCAACGATTTATTAATAATGTTTAAAATTAAATAGGTAGTTCGATGTATAGCATTTGTAAGATGTTGTAAACTACTTGTTAACTTAAACTGATCGAATTCAGACTCGTGCAACTATTTCCATGTAGTAGTTTCACAATGGATTTTTATATATTAGAGTTAACGTTTTATATTGAACTTTGATAAGACACTTTTTGTGGAACTCACATATATTGTCGAAGAAAATAGTAAATGTAAGTTTTAAGTTGAAGTTTTCATGGCTCCGTCATCCTCATTACAGACCTTAGAAACAAGTTTTAAATACCGTTGAGTTCCACATTTCAGCCCAAAGGAGCTGTGCGAACAAGCTTTCTCTCTCTTGTTGCGTATAAGAATTTGATTTTTCTTTTTTGAATAGATTTGGTCATCATCGTTTTTTTATTTTACTTCATTGGAAGTTGATTGGATTCATCGTATAGTCTATGCACTCTATGATGATCTATCATCATCATCTTCATCATCATTAAATGGCATTGAAATCTTACATGCTAATAATGATTATACTCAATTAATATTTGTTAATCGTTTAACATTTTCGAATATGAAAACAATTTCATCTGTTAATGTACATCCATTACAAGGGTAAAATAAAACTTAATAAAAAAAATTTTAATTTTTTAATTTTAAATAAATTCTTTTGTTTTATTTGATAGTTATCTTTATATTAGTGCTTATTATGATTCTCAACATTCTCTTATTTATCGAAGTTTACTTGATGGATCAAATCTTGAAACATTTATTACTCTTTATCAACCAGTATTAAGTATGACAATTGATTATCGTCATCCACGTTTATATGTTATATTATCAAGTGGTGAAATTGAAAGTTATGCTATTGATTCAAGTCAACCATGGAAAACAAATGTTTATAATTTTAAAAGTAAAAAAAAAAAAAGAAGATTTATTTAACCTTTGTTTTGTTTTGTATTTTAAATTTTCAAATATCTAAATAGATGTACGACCTTATTCAATTGATCTTCATGATGATACACTTGTTGTTATGATATTTAATTCAAGTGATTCAACATATGATGAAATGTGGGTAGAAAAATTTGGTAAAATCGTAACGGATCAATATCGAAAATTTAATATGCCAATGATTGTTCGATATATACATGAATTCAAATATCCTAGAGTAGATACATCAAATAGTAAGTCAATATTCTATTGTTCACTTTGGAAAAATCTAACATATGTCTCATATAATTAATAAGTTTGAGTAATAATTACCTATAGGGTTACATGTTTTTTTTTTTCTAAATTGATTTTTCGACCTCAGTGGAAAATTTAAAACATTCGGTTAAAATCAGAATTTCGTGTTTTTGCCAAATATATGTTCGGAATTATGAGTGAATCTTTGAAAGACTCGAAAATAAAGTCTAGACAGTAGACAGTTATACTAACAGATCTAGAAACAATGAATCTGATTGTGCACTACTTTCTTATTCTCATCATAAAGGTTCTTAATTTTGCTTAGCCCTAATGCCTTTAATTTGATTGCATCACGTTGTAAATTTTTTTGGATTAGTACCTAGACAATATACACGTCCTTCACAATAATAATGCTCTTATTGAAAACCTTCTATCACCAGTTATTTAGCATAGAACGAAACAGTTCTATATAAAGTGAACTAAGGATTGAAAGTCTCACAGTAATTCTTCAAGAAATAATCAAGCTAATTTTTTAAGTCTGGAAGTCAAAGAGTATCGAAGACATCAATATGTCTTATTATTGATAGAAGTGTGACAATAAAATCTAATGATTAGGATATCATTTTGTTCAGAAATACTTGCTCTTTTTATAATGTATTTCGAATAAATTTGACTATCACCTTAGATAGTTTCTTCGCCTATTGAAATTAATCGAAATTTTATTTTTTTTATTTTTTAAAGATTTAACTTTTTAAAATTAATTCATTTGTATTTTTCTATATATAGTGGTTAAGCAAGTTTGTTCCGATTACTCCTGTATAGATGGTCGTGTATGTATATCAACTCCTTCTTATCAACCGCTTTGTATTGTTCCTGGACGTATGTTTCAAAGAAAATCTTTTTAAAGATCTTTTATTCTTATTTTTTTTTGTTCTATGTGAATAGAATTAAATTTATGTGGTTCATCTTGTCATACTCGTGGTATATGTTCTAATGGTCAATGTGTATGTTCAAATCGAACATATACTGGTGATGATTGTGAAATGTGTCGATTAACGAACTTAATAAATGTTGGTTGTTTGCATATTGGTAATGATTCTCAACCACCATGTATGTGTTATTTATCAGAATCAATTCGACGAAAAACACCATATTTATGTACAATACTTAAAAATGATCTTGGTGAATTAGGTAAATTGATTTATATATTTTAATTGAATAAAATTTTGTCTCTTTTCTATAGAAGTTCCATGTGATCGTGTTATATCACCATTAGAACGTAATCAATGCTCTCGAATATCATTTCATGAACCATCATGTGATGAAACAACTCATTCATTAATATATCATATTCAAACACAAACATGTATTTGTAGAGAAATCAATAATAAAACATATCAGTGTTATAATAATGGCCTTGTAATTATTAATGATTATGATAATTTAACAATATGTTCGTAAGTATTGTTTAAATGAATAGCTCTCTTTTTTGTTCTGAATACTTTCTTCAACATTTTAATTATAAAAAACACGATCTAAATGAAGTGTTGAAGTATAAGAGTAGAAATTCAGATCCTCTATAATGTGCATCCCAGAGATGTCCATCGCGGCGCGGGAGATTTTCTCTCCAATCTCCGCGGCGCGGCAGCGGCAGATTTCGAGCCGCGATGGACATCTCTGGTGCATCCAGACAAACATGCTGTATCGAATGATGTAAAGTTTTTTTTGTTACGGATTTTCGGCAGAGTGAAATAACCGAAATTCAACAATTAATCTGAAAACATTGGTATCGATCATCAAAGAATTTCTTTGATTTGAGAATGTTCACTTTATGAGATAAAACAATTATAGTTTTTTCTAAACTAATTTTCAGAATGGCTAAGCTCGGAAAAAAATTTTGTCAGAATGTTCTATTGTGTGTTTTCTGTCACCACAATTAATATAAATAATATTCTCAGAGAGTTAGCGCATGAAACTACATCAGATGATGTATGAAAAAAAAAAAACATTTTCTCGAAAAAACTTTCGAGAACGAAAGTTATATATCTGTCTGCCATGCGAAAAATGCACACCATGATAGATACCTTAGCGAGACTTCCCACGTCACAAACCGTCTGCCAATAAAGTCTCATTACTAATTTCTTATTGCATTTCTGGAGAATTAAGTAAAAAGCTGGTGAAGAAATGCGCCCCAAAAAAAAGCCAATCTCCCATTGATTAGCAAGAACAGCTATATTGTGTTTTCTACAGAGATTGTACTAATAGTTCTTTCTTTTTTATGAATCTATCATTCGCTTTTTTTTAAAGATGTTCGCTGCCATTTACTGGCAATCAGTGTCAGATAAATTTATGTCAAAATCATTGTCAAAATAATGGTCAATGTACATTGAACGGAAGTAATATTATTTGCAAGTAAGTTGATTTACTAATTTAAATATTTTTTTTTCATTACGATTTATTTAGTTGTCCAAATGGTTTTAATGGTAAACAATGTCAAAATAATATGTGTCAAATGATGAATTGTAAAAATAATGGACAATGTTTTATAGAAAATAATAAAGCTCTTTGTCGGTAAGTTATTATTTTTGATTTCGTTTGAATCAGTGCTTTATTAATGTATATATATTTAGTTGTCTTAATGGTTTTACTGGTGAATATTGTCATATACGAATACGATTAGAATGGCGTAAATGGATAATGATAATATTTGTGTGTGGAATTTTAGTTTTTCTTATTTATGGTTTTATTCGATATAATTCAAAAATAATACGTTTAAAACATTTATTTTCACATCATCGTCTTCATGAACAAATTGGTTTAGAAATTAATCCAACAAATGCTGTTTATCATCATTTACCAACACAAGAAAATAATCATCATGATCGATTATTAGAAGATGTTTTATCAGATGAAATTGAAATATCTATACCAACAGTAGTTATGAATAATTCAAATAATAAAACAGATGAATTTCTTGATGATCCATTTTATGTTGATGAAAAACAACCAATATTTAATGGAGATCGAATAACTAGTCGATCAGCCAATACAGGAATTTTATAATTTAATTTAAAAATAAAAACTTTTTTTTTTCGTTTTACCCGGTGGTTTTTGTTGCTGATTTCTTGCTTTTTGTATTAACATTTATTATATATACATATATATATATATATATATTATCTAGTCTATAGTGTGCGAAAAGAAAAAATGTTTTTCGTTTGTTAAATGAAGCTAAACCGCTTTATGTGTAAATTCTGTTATTCGTTGTCTTATTGTAATATGAATTTATATGGATAATAAAAAGATATAAAAATTCAATAAAAGAAATAAATAATGATATTTTAAAAATCATTTATTTGTTATTCAATCATGCTATGCACTAGAATCAAAATACTTCGGAAAAATAATTCTCTCTATTTATTGATAAATTTCATTAAGATTATAGCGAAATTTATATTGTAGACCCACTTAGAAAAGTAACAAAGATTTAAACGGACAACTATTTGAAATACATTAATTATGAGAATATTTTATTCAGTATACTGTTTATGTATATTCACTTCGAATATTTGTTACTTATTTCATACTACTGCTATTGTTGAACATCGATTGTAATAAGAAGTAAAATTCATTTCAATACGGTTCGTAATTCTTATTTCGATTTCAGCAATAAATGCTTGAGCCAGATGTTAATTTAGTGTTGTAGAACTTACATTGACTGATACAGGGTATGGGTATGATGTGCGAGGTTGGACTGAAGAACCAACCATATTTAGGATATATGTTGACATATTTCAGCAGAGATCTCATAGTTCTTCTTTTCGGTTTTCATTGAAGATTCGAGCAAATTTTGGACAATAATCTTATCAGCATTCAGCAAGTTTGAATTATAAAAATAGCTTGTTAATTGTCACTTTATTGTATATAAAAATGAGATATACTTAGGGCATACAAAAAATTCTGGCCACGGCGATTTTTAAGGATTTTTTCGGATAGAGGGACCTATTCAGAAATGACAAAACAAATCTACCATATTGTAGAGCTTTTTGACACGCGTCGAATGGTATATAGTAAATCTTGTTTTCATAGGACTTTGAAGGATCTGGAGTCAATTTGCTTATAGACGACTACACACCCACACCCAAAAGAACTTTCGCGTGGACAATACAGTAGAAATCATCAAAATAAAAAGCATCAAAGAAGTCTGCTAAAATTTATCTCACCATTGGAAACTGAGCAGAAATTATCACGAAGATCATGCTAAAATCCGATTTTAGAAAAATCTTCAGAGATCAACTCTGAGGATCTCATTTTCAAAAGCGCATCACGAATAGCTCTCAAATCGAGATCACCCTCGAAAAATCGCCAAGAATCACCGAGAAATCATCATAACAAACAAAGCATAAAAGATGTCCTGCTTTTGGATTTTTCTAGAAAAATAACGAAAACCATCAGAAAAATGCTACTTTTTAATACTTATCCTGAGTCAGTATAGCTGTGAGAAGGGAATTTAACAAGGGCACGACATCTTCCTTGACGTTACCGCATTCTCGTTTCGCTTTCGGAAAAAGAATGAGAGAAATCATGCTTTTGTATTTTTTTCCAGAAAGCGTCCAAGAAAAATCGTGCAAAAATGCAGTTTTTGGAAAGATGTTCAGAAATCATTGTTATGCTTCGGGTTCATTGGTTAATGAGAAGATCTACTCAAATAGTGAATTTTATCGAGAAATCATTGGAATGACTGTATATAATACGAAAGAGAAAGGAAGCGTAAAAAATTCAAATTGTCGAATTTGTTTCTCGTGAAGAGCTATGTAACCATATGTGATTGGTTTGGAATTAGAAGGTATATTATTTATACTGAATAAGAAGGATTCGCCAACATTAACGATTTTTTCTGACGAAAAACGATAGTAAATAATGATCCTGTATCGAGCCAGTTACAGTTGATGCATACGCTACCATACGATATCATTTGATGAGCATATACAGTCACTGTATTGTCACCAAAGTCGTTCACTACGACTTTTTACGATCGTTGTTTTCGGTAGCCATTATGCATCGTTAAACATTGTTTACAATTCCTGTAAACGGCTACCTAAAGTAGTCACCGTTATCCATCGTAATTGGTTGGGTGTGAGCTTCAGGACGAACTGTAGCAAAACGCATACCTACATCCACATCCTCAAAGACCGTATATCAATAATGTTTCGTTCTCATACATGAACTACTTCCTTAGTCGATTTCTGAAGTAAAAGAATGGCGAAGAAATGCGTCTCAAACTAGATAGAATAAAATGATCTCTTTGTGATTAGCAACAGCAATTACACTGTGTTTCACACTTTAATCTCGTAGAGATTGCATCAATATCTTTTTAGATTATGCCAAACAGTACTGTTATAATCAAAGAAATTACGGTTATTCAAGCTTTTCATCCAACAACTTGCTATTATTTTCTCTTTATGTAAATAAATCAAGTGAACAACTGAAACTAGAATGATACATTAATGCAGAGTTATTGAACTAAATGTATTCGAAAAATCAGAAACATCAATCAAGCTGGTTTGATCTGAAGATCAGGGCAAGCCAGAGATAAGTAGTCTGTTAACAGCTGTGATAAGTATCATACAGATGAAAATGGAATGAAATGCTCAACACTAATATAAAAGATATTTACTCATTGATCATGGTATCACTGTGATTATAATACTCAGTTTTCTGCAATAATGAGCTATCCAGTTATCGTTGTCGAATAAAAAACAGTAAATAATTTACATTATTTCAAATCTAATTTATTCTATTAGAGAACAATATCTAATCATTTTTGTATTTCTGCTGTCCAAAAATAAAAACAAATATTTTGAAACATTTTCTTTTCATCAAAAATTTTCTTCTTTGTTTAATATAACAGATAATAAATTTTTAAGAAAATATGTTAGAATAAATCCACATATGAAAAGTATAATACCACATATAAGCATAACAATGTCTTTTTTAGTTTCGTCTATCATATAGACAAGTAATTCAGGTTCATCATAATTTGATGTAAAAATAATTCGATCATCAATTGATTCATCAATATTTCTTATTAAATTAATTGAATTAACTGAACCATATAAACATGTTTCTGTTGATTTTTGATAGATTTTAAATTGAAAAACATCGCCTATTTCATTACATAGAATTTTACTCGTATTAGTCATACGCATCGCGATCCAATTTAATAATATATCATGAATATAAGATGATGCATCAAAAAAATGATTATTTATATATTTTTTAACATCTGATTGATGTAAAATAGGTTGTAAAAATGAAAATTTTTCTTTCATATTATTTAAAACTTCTTTAAAGTAAAATATACTTGTTTCATTTGTTTCCAATATTAGATTAGAACAATTCGATCGAAGAAAACAATCAAATAATACTTGAATTTTCTCATTTAAAGTTTGTTTAATCTCTATCGATAGGTCATTTAAAGATATCGGTAAATTAAAATAACTACAAAGAGTTTTTAATAATGTATATATATGATTTTCTATAGATGAATAATCTTTTATATGTATTAAAGTATCTTGATAACTATTATAGAATGGATTCATATTTTCATAAGCATTTGTTAAAATTGCCAATGTGCTTATATTTAATAAACGAAAATCATTCAAAGAATTGAGTCTGTCTGATATTTGTTGAAAAGTAATTAAAGTTGAAGAAATTTCTCTAAAAAATTAATTTCGATTAGCATTTTTCTCGTGTAAAAATTTTCTGTTT